GAATCCCAATATTCGCTACACCCCTTCCCCCATGATACGTCACTGCACACTTTTTATTTCACGCCCATGAACTATATTAATATTCTCATGTCCCAACCACTTTTAAACCGAATATTTTTTTTACACAATACTTAAATTGAGACGATTTCATTTCCAAAAAGAAAATATTTTTAAAAAAATTGTATTTGTATGAGTGTGTGTGTGGGGGGGGGGGGGGTGTTTGAGGTAAGTTTGCGTATGTTAACAATATTTTAAGAAAGTTGTACAATTTCTAAAGATAAAAGGAACAACAAAAAAAAAAAGTTACATTAAAAAAATAAAAATAAATGTGTTACATTCCAATAACCCTGTTTTGTTTTGTTTGTTTCTGAGGAGGGGGCTGGGGACTCGATAAGTGTTAACGGTCAATGAATTACTTGGGGAGGGGGGGTCTAGTACGCCTTTCGGGTATATAAACCCACTTTACGCCTCAAAATTGTGGTTACCACACGTTGAACTACAGTCCTGTTACTGTTACTGCAGTCATCCCCTTTCCGTAATCATTCAGCAGATAAGGGCCGCGGTCCCACCTGCCACACTCTCTCTGTCTGCCGCTACCAAAACTTGTTCAATGACAGCCATGTTTTAAAATAAGAATAGCGATCGCGCTGGATGCAACATTTCCCTTTAAGCCCGATGACAAACAGTCTTAAGTCACAGTATTCTTGTAATCCAAGATTTGTCCCCCCGTATCATGTGTGCCCGGTCCGCACCGGTGTGTTTGCGCTGCGGCCAGTGCACAAACTTTTAAACACCGGGCAAACTGTACGCCACTCTTCCTACACTTGCGCCCCCCCCCCACAAACACACACACTCCACACAATCGTGTTCCTATGGCAGGCCCACAGAACCGCTGGCCATGCGACCCTCCGTGTCAATGTGGGGCTGTTCAATTGCCGTTTGTTCTTCTTTGGTTCCAATGTTGATGCTTTGCCATGTCGCCTTTATTTCGATCATTTATCATTATTTGTTGTTGTTTGAGGCAAAAACGCCTGACGTGTTTCATTTTCGCAAGTGAAGAATTACAAATCGAATGGTTAGTCTGTCTGTGGTGGTGGTGTACGGGTTTGGGGTGGGGTGGGCCAGGGGGGGGGCTTGAAATTTAACAATATTACTTTGATAACATGAGATAGAATGGATCTGATTGGTTTATTCTGTGGAGTGTAAATAATGTTTAGTCACTTAAATAATGTTTAGTCACTAAAATAATGTTTAGTCACTTAAATAATGTTTAGTCCCTTAAATAATGTATAGCCACTTAAATAATGTTTAGTCCCTTAAATAATGTTTAGTCACTTATATAATGTTTAGTCACTTAAATAGTGTTTAGTCACTTATATAATGTTTAGTCACTTAAATAATGTTTAGTCACGTAAATAATGTTTAGTCACTTAAATAATGTTTATTCACTTAAATAATGTTTAGTCACTTAAAAAATGTTTAGTCCCTTAAATAATGTTTAGTCCCTTAAATAATGTTTAGTCACTTAAATAATGTTTAGTCACTAATATAATGTTTAGTCACTTAAATAATGTTTAGTCCCTTAAATAATGTTTAGTCACTTAAATAATGTTTAGTCCCAAATATAATGTTTAGCCATTTGCTAAATCTGAAATGATTTATTATATTTTATACTAGAGGGCAATGAGTTTAAGAGCATGAGCCATGAACATTTTTGTGAACAAAGAAAGTAATGAAATGTTATCTGAGCGTAAAATCATTTCTGTCATGTTTCCACCGTACGATGATTCCCCCCCCTACACCCCCACCCCCCTACACCCCCACCCCCCTACCCCCCACCCCCCTCCCACCCAACAAAAATCCATAACCTTTTTTGTCAGCCTTCCTAACCAAAGACATACAATCTTTTCTCGAGCCCATACTCCAGGCAATTTATTTCTGAATATATATTCGCATTGCCTAATCTCACGTTGTTGTACGGCAGACGTAGAGAAGGAATCCATTGATCCCGGAATGGCTTATCTCAGTGATAGAATTATGCCGGGACAGACCCGGCAAACACGCACGCTATAATTACGTATGACTGGGGGAGGGGGGGGGAGGAATACTCCTGGGCTTGGAGTTTGTTGTAAAGACAAGATCACCGGCTCAAGAAATATTGTCTTGTATGCATTTCATTTTTTTTATTTTTTGTTATGTATGGTGTTAGGGGGAATGGAACAAATAGATCTGATATATTTGGAACCATTATACATTTTGAGATGGTTTTGTGCGAGATAAGAAAGGTAAATTTAATAGAAAAAAAAAGTTGAATCTTCTAGCAGTTGGTACAAAAAGGACACACTTACTTGGAACGCCCGGCCTTATAAATTACTTTATAGTCATCGATATCCCAAGTTTAGACAATTAAACACTGACCACAAAGCTTAGGCTATAACTCTGTATGTACGCATTCAGTCACCCAGTTGTTTTTATGTAATAACAACGATCATGTGCAATAAGTATAGACCTACTCTGATGGCTGTGCTAAATAACATATGTAATGAGTATAGGCCTACTCTGGTGGCAATAGGCAATGATATAGGCAATAAGTTTAGGCATACTCTTATGGCAACCAATAATATAGGCAACAAGTTTAGGCATAATCTTATGGCAATACAATAAACAATAAGATATGCAATAAATAGAGGCCTACTCGGTGGCAAGGGGAACACCGTGAGTACTTGACTGGCATTAACGTCCCCTTGCTGATATTTTTATTTAGGAGGAGGGGATGCCATGAGATCAAATAAATTATTTGTTTACACATGTCAGTTAACTACTTTTTTTCATCATTTTGTACTAATCCTAGCTTCACAACTTACCACAAGCAATCATTGCGATTGACATTAATATGATTGCCATAAATAAGATTGATGTTCTGCTGTAGGAAGACGGTTTAAAAAATGTAAAAACTTAACAGGTATACCTGTACACAAAAAAACGCAATTCACTTAAATCTAAATCTGTTTTATCAGCACAAGCGTATCAATCGTCTTCCATGCCCCCCAACCTTTTTTTTTTCTTTTAGAGAAGTTAGAACTAAGCCCCCTCCTCCATACACTTAGCATGTTGACAGAACTATTGGTCCCCCCCCTCCCCTTTGCCCGTATGACAAGCCAACGGGAAAGCCCGGCAGACAATATCAAGTGCCGATTAATTCCATGTTGATCCGAGACATTCATTTCTGTTATTGACTAAACACTTGCCTGGGAAGTTAGGACACAAAACAGTCCTCAGAATTGGCAGCAAGCAGATTGAAAACCTCAAGCACCTCCAGGTGTTGGTGGATTGGTTTGGGCGGGGGGGGGGGGCGGGACAACAAGCATCCCCAGCAGTTATGCACGGCGCTATTCGAAGATTATTTTAAGACCGCACGGAATGACAAAAAGTAGTCATTCCTTTGTTGACATTGGAAATTCCTTAAAAAGAATTGGCAGCAAGCAGATTGAAAACCTCAAGCACCTCCAGGTGTTGGTGGATTGGTTTGGGCGGGGGGGGGGGGGCGGGACAACAAGCATCCCCAGCAGTTATGCACGTCGCTATTCGAAGATTATTTTAAGACCGCACGGAATGACTATAAGTAGTCATTCCGTTGTTGACATTGGAAATTCCTTAAAAACTACTCCAACAACAAAAACAAAAAAGTGTGATAATTAATATTTAATAAAGTTTCTTGATGGTCATCAAAGTACTGTGACGTAGACTTTAGGTCTACAGTACACGACCTGGTTCCATTACACAAAGAATCTCTCGCACTATCTTATTTCGTTCTCTATTCTCTGTTTTTTTTGTTTGTTTTTTTTTTGGGGTGCGGGTTGGGTGGGGTTTGGGGGGGGGGTTCATTCCAAGAATAAAAACACATACTCTTTACTTTTTATACTACACATGGCTCTGTAATAAACATGTATTGTTTAATCACAAAGCCCCTTGAACTTACAGGATCGTGCCGTGCTTCTAGCATATTACAACACATTGGTCAGGTCAATGGTTAAATTAAAAAAATAAACGCAAATATGTCTCCAACGAAAATTAACGTGTTTCAATTTTTTTTTTTTTTTTCAGAAGTCGGGAACCAAAGATCAACTTGATCCCGGCTCTCTCTACCATCAGCGGAGTTACGCACCACAGAACAGTAAAGAAAACAAAGTCAGCCCCCCGACAGGCAACGCCTCTGATAAGACAGCCCACACACCCGGCTCGTCTGGACAAAGCTTTTACACACACATCCAGGTTAACCATGTAAGTTAAACTTTAACCCAAACATCCAGTCTAACCATGTAAGTTAAACTTTAACACAAACATCCAGTCTAACCATCTAAGTTAAACTTTAACACACACATCCAGTCTAACCATGTAAGTTTAAATTTAACATACACATCCAGTCTAATCATGTAAGTTAAACTTTAACACAAACATCCAGTCTAACCATGTGAGTTAAACTTCATTTATATGATAATGTTTTTTCTCCAATGTATAGCCCTTTTTCATTCTTCTTTTTTTTAAAAATCAATTTTTTAAAAGATTTTTTTTTTTTAAAGTAGTGTGCTATTAACTGCCTATACATGCAAATTTATAAACGCAAGTACAACACGTAGAAGGTAATACCATTTGAATTACTCCAAGGTGGACACATGTGATTGTTAAGTTGTTCTTCGATCGCTATGATCTTAAAAGCATCGTTAAAAAATTTGAAATACTTAAGTCATTTCTCTACTATTCGCCAGGGCCCCGAGACGACCCAAGTCAGACAGGAAGATTTCCACAGCACCAGCTCGACAGAGACGAGCACCGGGGACAGCGGTCACGGCAGCGATGAGGACATGTCCAATAGCCTGGATCACACCAGCATCCCGCCCTTGGCCGTGGAGCACGCGGCGCCGCCCATGACGCTCGCGTCGACGAGCCGCCAGAGCGCATCCAGGGCCAGCTTCCCGAATCTCGCCCAGAGACCGTCCCTGCTGAAATCGAGCACGCGGGCTAAAAACAGCTCCGTGAGGTTCGACCCCCACGTCAGCTACGATCAGATCCAACCCCTCCGTGACTACCCGCCCACCCCCACCACATTTTCAGTCCAAAATCATCTCGGCGGCAGTCGTGAGATTCCCCAGCCTGTGCCACCCCCGAGGCTCCCCCACAAGTTCGACCTTCTGGTCCATCAGCAACATCAGCAGCCCGCTCATCACCAGCTCCATCCAGTGACCTACACACATCAGCCCCGGCGCCACCCTCACCCTCCTCCCCCGCAGCAACCACCACACCATCAGCATGCTCCTCATCAGGGCAGGAGGCCCAGCATATCAAGCATATACTCCAACCCAAACAGACTCATACCGCTGACGTCGCAGGTCTCCTTGGGGGATGATGACAGCGATCTCAACACAACGACGTCGGGGAGTTACAGCGTGGCCTCGGATGACGTGGGGAGACTCAGCAGTTTTGGTGACATCAAAGACTTGTACGTCTGAAGCACGTCAAGGAGCAATCAGAGACTTGTACGTCTGACGCATGTTAAGGAGCAATTAGAGACGTGAAAGTCTGATGCATTTCAAGGAGCAATCAGAGACTTGAAAGTCTGATGCATTTCAAGGAGCAATCAGAGACTTGAAAGTCTGAAACATTTCAAGGAGCAATCAGAGACTTGAAAGTCTGATGCATTTCAAGGAGATATCAGAGACTTTAAAGCGTCTGATACACATTTGGAGATATCAGAGACTTTTACCTCCGATGCATGCTAAGGAGATATAAGAGACTTGAAACTCTAATGCTGCTTTGCAGATGTCCAAGACGTTTACTCATGATGGATACATCAAAGACTTGTGTATCTGATGCATAATGAAAACACATTACATTATTATCTCGCCTTCAGACCTCCAACAAAATTATTATTTTTAAAATGACTATCTTTTAATAACCAGCAGTGTCCCTTCTTCATATTATTTGCGTCTTGTTGACTTCTAAAGACCCCGCACATTGTATGTGTTGGTAGCGGAATGTCAGCTGCACTGTTTATACTATTTTAAACACACCAAATACTGTCATCTGGCGTTGTTTAATTTTTGGCCAACCCTCGAACTTGCTCAACTGTGTTTTACATCAGTGTCTTGACATTGTAGATTTACTGATTTAAAGATATTGGAGTTTGTAATGTCGTTGGGGAATCTTCTGTTCGATCATGGGCCACAGCAAGCAATTCAATCATGGGCCAAAGCAAACAATTCAATCATGGGCCGCAATAAACAATCATGGGCCGCATCAAGCAATTCAATCATTGGCCACAACAAACAATTCAATCATGGGCCACAACAAGTAATTCCATCATGGGCCACAGCAAGCCATTCAATCATGGGCCAAAACAAACAATCATGTGCCACAGCAAGCTATTCAATCATGGGCAGCAATGATCAATTCAATCATGAGCCACAACAAACAATTCAATCATGGGTCACAACAGACAATCATGGACCATAGCAAGCAATTCAATCATGGGTCAAAACAAACAAATTCATTCCTGGGCAAAACAAACAATTCAATAATGGGCCACAACAAACAATTCAATCATGGGTCACAAAAACAATTCACTCATGGGCCACAAGATACAATTCAATCATGGGTCACAACAAACAATTCAATCATGGGCCACAACAAACAATTCAATCCTGGGTCACAAAAAACAGTTCAATCTTGGGTCACCACAAACAATTCAATCTCGAGCCACAACAATTTAACTTTGATGTATTTGGATGAATCACAATTGTATAGAATCGTTTCAATCTTTGCATCGGAAGAGTAGTTGTTTTCTTTTCGCTCATGTGCTTGGAAGATTATGACTGAAACCAGACTAGCACTTGCAGCTGAAACATTGAGACTTGTGCATATTTAGATATTTATAAAATTCATGTTCAAAATAGCCAGACTTGCCGATAAAACAACAGAGTTCAGCTTCCCACGTGACTATTTAATTTGTTATTACCAATATTTATCAGGAGATGATTGTAAATAAATATAAGATGGCCAGTAGTGACAGTTTCTGTGTCTTACCAAAGATTGTATAACACTTTATACTCCACCACGGAATAATATATTTGTTTTATGATTTGTTTTTAAAATGATTTGTTTCCTTCAGTTATAAATCACGTTATATTATATGTGGTTATAAATGGAGAAACCTAGTAATTGTAAGACCTGTTTGAGGATTGGTTGCTAGCAAATCGTTAATTTGATAATTATTTTTTATTTTTAAAAATAATTTGCTTTGTTCATTTGTGTGATGATTAAAGTGAATGGTAAAATAGAAACGCATTGAATGAATTCAAGACTAGGAAATGGAATGGAAATCAGTACAAGTGACATCGAAGAACATATTGTATAATGAAACAAGTTGAGGGAGAGAGAGAGAAAGAGATAAATGCAGAAACCCAGAGAGTTCGAAAGAGATTTGGGGTGGGGGGGGGTGAGGAAAACTTTATTAAGAAAGAGAGAGAGCATGGAAGTTGAGGGGGGGGGGAGAGGAATTGACTGAGACGGATTGTAATCTGAATGATAATGTATGGATTTCTAAAATATCATTAATGCATTTGTTTTGAATAATTCTTTTTTCCAATATAATGTTATGAATATGGTAGTCCCTACTTGTACATAAATAATTCAGATGATATGCCATTCCAATGACTCATTACAAAGAAAATGTTTGATTTGCAAATATATGAAAATAATGTAACTTATCTGGATTTTTTCAAGTTTTTCATTCTATCGTTCACCCTATATATTGCATGCCTTGTAGACGTTGCACTTAATGATAACATCAATCAAAATAATGGACACGTTCTTTCTGAAAGTATTGTATGATCATCGTCAAACTAACAGTAAGTTTTAAGTCTTTTAGTTGTATCTTAAGATTCGGTTCAATGTAAATGAGAGAATTCGTCGCATGCCAGCCATGGGTGCTCTACACAGCAAGGGACGTGGCTCGTGGGACGTGGCACGTGGGACGTGGCTCGTGGGACGTGGCTCGCGGGACGTGGCTCGTGGGACGTGGCTCGTGGTTCAATGTAAATGAGAGAATTCGTCGCATGCCAGCCATGGGTGCACTCCACAGCGAGGGACGTGGCTCGTGGGAAGTGGCTCGTGGGACGTAGCTCGTGGGACGTGGCTCGTGGGACGTGGCTCGTGGGACGTGGCTCGTGGTTCATAGGTTAAAACTGAACATCTGCGGCATTGAAGGGAATTTGTAGAACAGTGATTCTCAAACCATTCACGATAATGGAAAGGGGGATAGTAGAGCAGTGATTTTCAAACCATTCACGGTAATGGAAAGTGGGATAGTAGATCAGTGATTCTCAAACCATTCACGTCGATGGAAAGTTGGATAGTGGAGCAGTGATTCTCAAACCATTCACGGTAATGCAAATGGGGGTAGAAGAGCAGTGATTCTCAAATTATTCACGGTAATAAATTTGCAAGAATTACAAATATTGGAACAGAGGGAGGTGCAAAATTCATGCTTACTGCCATTGCTCTATCCTCTTATTTTTTAGCCATTGGTGGACCCACGATTGAGCCGTCTCAGAAGAACTTCAGAAGCACCGGTGCAGACATGAAGACTCTTACCAGAATAATTTTCATTCAGTCGACTTAATTTCTTCCGTGAAACAAAGGAAACAAAACCGATCAAATTTAACTCCTTGTTTCACATAGCGTACTCAACATTTACAATGTGGAACACGAACACCAACACACATACATGAACACACTCACCCACCCACGCACACACACACACACAAACATATATATAATGGATATGTTCAAAGATGGAAACTTGTTTATGTTTGACATCCATATTATGTACCTACACGACACTGACTCGGGAAGAAGCGGTCGTCCGATTAAATTTGTCAAGCCATAGTGACGGCCGTACGGCTTAGCCGTGACCTGGCATGTTAATCTCCCCCACTTGTCCGGCAGTAAGAGCCGAGTAGATCTGTCGTTTAAATCACGAGGCGCTCATCTGACAGTCTAATGGTCTCACCAGTGGTCTCAGCAGTGGTAAGGGTTTAAAGCTTTTGGTCCTGGTTCATAATGAGCGTCGCGGCTTAATGCGCTGACAAATTAATGAGTTTGTGGTTGAACGTTTAAAAAGAGGGTGTGGGTGGGGGGGGGGAGGGTTAAATATGGCTAAACATTACCTCCCGTCTTAAAGCTTAGTTTGGCATCTGTCTGCTCGTCCAACATCTTGAAGTAATTTTAAGACTAATTTTTAGAATCGTTTTCTGGTATATTTACGTGATAATGATCAATAGAGGCCTCTGATGAAAACAGTTGGAGCGATAACATAAATCTTTATTTTTATGTTGTCCTTCATACAGGTGTTCTTCGTTTTGTTGTAAGGATGAGAGCACGGGAGTTCTTGTGGGGGAAAAGGCGTAAAAAAAAAGTTCGAATAAATTCTCAGGACATCAAAAGGCGCCCGTCTGCTCTCTTGTGCTAAACTCACTATCATGGGGTTTTACCATTGACCGATGTACTGCCTACAGAATTAGGTGCCCTTCAAACAGAGATGCACATACATTTAGGCTGCTTGTACATAATATCTGATAATGGTGTATGTCAAGGAAGCTTAGGTGTACCAAAAGATGCGGTCCCAAACACGGCTAGATTCTAAGATTATCATGATTGCATTAATGATTACATTAGGAATTATATAGTTCACTACCACGACAGTATTTCCGGTACCATTTCTAAGCGATACTTTATATAAAATAGTATAGTATCAAATGTAACTTACAAAAAATAAAAAAAATAAAAAATGACATAAATATTTAGATATGTCGTAAATAAGTTGCTTTCAGTTTGTCCGCAAACACCTGCTTCGAAAAGTCTCCCTCGTAGGTAGAAAGTCAATATATAAATAATACCTGGACTGAAACTGGCACGTAGAGCGTGGTCTCGTAAGGTGACAGGTATTTTATGGGTCAGCTTAACCCAGACTTTAGTTACTTCACCACCGCCAGCCACGAGAAACCATGGAGATAGACATTATCTGTGTACCGGCGGCATGCGCCATTGTTGACCTGACATAGGTGTATCCCCCCTCCCTCCCTCCCTCTGGCATGCATAACGTGCCCACGGTCGTTAGTGGCATGGTTCCCTCGGTGGATAAAGTCCCTTTCATGTCATAAATCTCACCATGTTAATCAGACTTTTATCAAATGATCTCAGAAACATTGTAGATCACATGAATGGAAAGTTGAAGTCGCAAGAATACCTCAAGCGTAAGAATTACCTGATACAAACTTGACAAAACATGTTCGTGTCTTCGTAATCCCGCCAAA